GATCATGCATCGATCCAGGTCCCGATCGACGTTTAGGTCACGTTTTTGGTGGTCACGATTTATTCTACCCATGACATTCCCCACGACTTATCATATGCGTACCACGCATAATATTAGAACCGGCGGTTATCTTATTAAAGATTAGCTAAATAATGGTGGCCTTCTGGGTATAAAGAAGAAATTGAGTGCAGTCTCTCAGCTTCTTTTCGCTTTTTCCCTAGACTTTCATTACGATGCCTTTTTCCTTTATTAATATGTTTGCCCACTCAATGGCTACATTTTCCTCTACTTAGTTTGTTCGTTCCACGAACTTCAAATCCTCCAGGATCAAATATCTTCGAGGCCAATCGAAATAGAGATAAGTACCGGGATATTCCTTTGTTCATGGTTTCTTGTACCACCTCTAATACCATTACTCTTTCCTTCGTTTTAGGTTCATGTTCCAATACTGGAATCGTTCCTTCGGGGGTCAATTTCGACATCTTTATGACGACTTTCTCTGTTGCATCTTTTTGTCGTTGGTCACGTGATTTCGGGTGAGTTTCACTACGTTTGGCTGTTTTTTCTTTTTCGTTTATCCATGCTTTAAACCTATCCATTTTTTCATTCCACTTATCGCCTGCTTCACAAAGGTTTTCAAAATCAATAACCATTCCGGGTCTTTCGGTCTTTTCATATATCCTTTCGATAGCCGTATCATCTACTTCGGCACTATCAGTCCCGTGGTATTCGCTGGCTTTAGGTTTGTTCCTTTCGACTTCGATCTCATTCCGATATCGGCCTTCCAGGTGATTATGTCTGTCTTTAGCAGATTTCAATTGCCATTTAAATGCTTTGGTTTTCTCGGTTCTGGCTTCATTTTCGTAACGATCTCTAGCCAAGTACATTTCATCAGCATCACCTAACTTTGCCGATCTTTGATAATGAGCAAATGCCTTATTTTTATTTTTTTCTACTCCAATTCTATTTCGATACCGGTCGCCGATATTTTTCGTATCTTCAACTTCGTCAGGTTCTTTTTCGGTAGGTTCTTTCGCTTTAGTGATGGTCTTCCGGAATTCATCAACTTTTTTCTTCCATTTTTCGCATGCATGACTTAAGGTTTCCCCGTCAAGGAGTCTTTCAGGTCTATCTTTATTTCTTCCTTTTCTCTGCCCTCCATCATCTTCAACCAACGTCTCACAGTTACTTTCATCCAGGGCTTCGTCATCCACAATTTCTGAATATTTCATAAATACGTTCTCTATTTCTCTTTCCCTTTTTGGGTCCAATTTATTCAATTCCATTCTAACGTTGTCCATTTCAGCTA